CACTGTGCCATGGCAGATGCCCAGAAGTGGGAAGAGCAGCCTAACAGGTCTGGTTGCCCTCAGCACCTGTCATCTCCAGGGAAACCTGGACCTTGTCTGACCCTTTGCTAGCGTTGTGGACCGCGGCGCTGGAAGATTTTCCTCTGGGTGACTGGTGACTGCCTGGGTGTACCTGGAGGGATGGACCACAGCCTAGGTGCTCACGAGGACTGAGCAGGAGCCCGGTGCCACTGCTGCTTCCTCGATTGTGGTTGCACGGGTTTGTTGCTAAGCAGGAAGCCTCCAGGTATTGGTTGTCCCTCTTGGGTTCAAATCCTCAGGAGAATCTCTCAGGTTACCGCCCCCTGGAGGTGGCTTCCTCTGGATAGGCAGCCTGGAGACCTCAGCAGAAAGCGGCAATCCAGGGCACAAAGGGAGGGGGATGATGGCCTTCCCGAATCTTCGAGGTGTGGACTCAGAATAGTTTATGTGTAATTTGCACTTTGGAGTCAAAGCCACACAGTGTCCTCGGTCTGTTACTCATTATGGGCTCAGCCAAGGTGGCTTCCAGCCCTGCAAACCTGTGTGCGCATTTCTGTTCCTGGGTCCAGAGTTCTTCGCAAACCCATTTTCTCTGTTCCTCTATACCTGGAGTCCCCGCCCCAGGGCAGGAGGATCTCCGGAGTTCAAGGCCAGCCTGTCTCAAGACAAAACAGCTGAGCAAAACGTAAGTTACACTTGTTATTCAGAGAAAATCCCGCCTTTCTTTCTGGGCATGCGCACGAGTCGCTGCTTAGAATAACCACAGCGAGGGGCTGGGGATTTAGCTCAGCGGCATAAGCGCCTGCCTTGCAAGCAGGCGGTCGTGAGTTCGAACTCCGGTACCGATTAAAAAAACAAAACAAAACAAAAAAAAACAATAACCACAGTGACCCTGAGCAAGCAAGGTAGGAGACTTCTCGAAAGGAATCTTCTGGAATCCGCGGTTCCCATTCATTTCTAGATCCCGATTTCCCAGGCACTGACACAGCTGCGCGTGGCTGTCCAGATTCGCCGATGATGCCTGCACTCCGGAGCCCACCACGTCGCCGTGGGCCGCCGAGGAGGGGCGGGGGCCGGCCGTGGTCTCCGTGCGGGCCTGCACGGCGCCTCCAGCGATGCCACCTGTCCTGTCCCCACTGTCCCGTGGGGAGGGCTCGTCCTCCCTCCGTGCAGCTGGAGCCCGAATACCGAGGCTGAGTCCTCCTGCCGGAAGTCACACAGCTGGAGGGGCAGGCGGCTCCGGGATTCACCTCCATCCACGGGGGCCTGGCTGGGCCCGGGGGCGCAGTGGGGTCCAGCACTAGTGCCACGGTGACCAGGGCGCTGTCCACTGGGTCAGCGTTGTGGAAGCAGATGCTCGTCTCCCTCCCTCCCTCTCTTCTACTTTTGGGGTCCGTGACTTCCGGGCTCTTGGTCCCCTCAGTGCATAACGCAGCTCTGTCACTCTCCGGGTTGTTTAGAGCCCGGGCGGGCACTGCGAGTTCCGGAGACGACGCTGATGGAGGTGCAAAACCGACGGTGACCCAGCCAAGGCCGGTCCCTCTGTCAGTTCTCCGCTCTTCTCCTCCAGCGAAGGCAGGGCGGCCACTAGGAGGAGCACAGAGGGCTCCAGAGCGGGGTCTCGGACACGTGGATGTCCCCTGGCCCGGGGACTACGTCCTCTCTGCAGAAAGCCACCGGATGCCGTGCAGGGCAGGCGAGCAACAGCAGGGCACGTGGGAGGGGGCAGGCGGGCAGAGCAGAGCAAGTTGCCCCAGTCGCCTCTGTCGCCACCTTGAATGGGACAGCAGGAGGGCCAGGCGTATGTCCCTGAATCCTGGGGCTGCGCAGGTGATGGGATCCGGAAGTGGCCTGGTTAAGGATGGAAGTAGTTACGAGGCTCGAGTGACTGGGTCTCGCTGTGAGGTGCAGGCTGGCCTCAAATTCGCAGAGACCTTCCTGCCTCAGCCTTCCTAGTGCTGGGTTACAGGCGTACGCCCCAACTCCTGTCTCCACTGTATGATAGTCTGACAGCCGCGATGAGATTAAAGGCAGCTTTGCACACCTTGATGTCTGAGGGCACGTGGACGAGCGCTCTGGCTTTATCTGAGATAAAAACCATTTGAAAATCGTATCACGTGCCTAGGAAGGTGCCCACTGGGATGGGACAGGACGGTGGGGGGGGGAGCCGTGGACACAGGGGGCATCGTGGGTGATGTAACACTGTACCAGTCACGTGGGCTGCTCTTCTGGGAACTCTGGGGGAGCTGGGTGGGGCCCTGGGGAGGGTGGGGCCCAAGGAAGGGGATGGGGTCTGGAGAAGGGCCAGATCTGGAGAGGGTGAGCCCAAGGGAGGGACGGGGTCTAGGGGAGGGCGGGCTCCAGCCAGGGGAAGGGTCTAGTGGGAGAAAGGTCCCTAGGGAGAGGCAGGGCCCATGACAGGGGCGGGTCCAAAATAGGGGCGGGGTCCAGGGAGAGGAGGGGCCCCAGGGAGGCGGGGTCAGGCAGGAGGGTGCAGGCGCTCACCGCTCACCGCGTTGAGGGCTCAGAGTCCAGCCCCCACTCCCTGCTGCCTGCAGGGGGCGCTCTGCCCCTCGCTGCTGGACTGCGGAGGGAGGCGACTCCCGTGCGCCCCAGGGCCATCCCGTCTCGCTGTTCGGGAAACGGGAGGGGGCTCTCCCGCCCTTGTGCCAGCTCCACCTGCCTCAGCCTCCCTGCAGGCTCCGCCCGTTGCCCCACCCCACCCCAGCTGTCACCAATCCCGAGTGACAGAAGAGGATCTAGGCTTAGCGGTGTCCCTCAGAACTGGGGCGGCGGGAGATTAAGGACTGCTGCATTATAAAACCAGGCGGCCAGATCAGATCCCCGAGTGGCTGCAAAGCCAGCGGTGTAGACACGTCTGCTTGCCCTCTGTCCCGGCTGTGTGACCAACCCGTGGTCCTTCTTCTGGGGTCCAGAGACAGAGAAGTGGTGTTCCGAGGGTCTGTGCTTCAGCAAAGCCTTGCAGGGGGAGCCGTGGGTGGCGGCTCATGCTGGCCATCCCAGCATTTGGGAGGCTGAGGCAGGAGGATCGCCTTGAATTCAGGTTAGCTCGTGCTACCCAGAGAGCTCAAGCCGGCTTCCTCAGAGAACAGATGAGTCACTTGCTCTTGGGTGAATCATTGTGCCTGGGATGGGAAACAGGTCATTTTGGGTCAGGGAGGCCTCCAGGGGCCCGTGGAAATAACCCCAAATATTTGCCAGGCTGTCAACCAATCCTCGCAGAGGGGGCAGAGCCAGCACGTGGCTGTGGGAAGCAAGTCCAGGGCTAAGGCAGCCCACTGCTGGGCAGATGGGAGACGTCAGGCCCTTGGAGAGACACCATCCTGCCTCAGCCTCTCCCGGGGACTTTTCAGTGATCAGTTCATTGAAGCAGAATTTACATTTGTTCTTTACACAGGGCGATGGTTAGGATGATATGATACTAAAGCAGTGCAGCGTATTGTGGGCTCGGCCAGAGGTGCAGCGGTAGAGCGTGTGCTTTGCGTGAGTTCAATTCCCAGCCCTGCAAAAACAAAAAATTTGAAAACATGCTTCCTGCCTAGTGAGATGGTACATGTCTCAGGGAGGCAGAGGCAGGAGGACTGCAAGCCCAGGCACAACCTGAGCACAGTTTAGTGACTTAGGAAGACCCTGGCTTAAGATTTCACTCTGCATGTGTGCAAGTTTGTGTGTGTATGTGAGTGTGAGTGTGTGTGTCCAACTGGAGCTGCTGCCACCGAGCAGGCCACCTGGCTCTTGGCCGGGAGAGTCACCACGGTGCAGGGTTTATCAGAATCCTCTCGTCTTGGTCCCAGCTGCCTGCACTGTGCCTCACAGCACATCTGAAATCTGCGCAGCTCACACAGAGCCTGTGAAATAGAAGGGATTGTGCTCAGCAAAACCCATGTCCCTGCAGTCCTGTCCTGACCCCGACAGCTGTCACTACCACAGGGAGAGTGCCCTGGACTCCTGTGTGCGCATCCTCAATGCGCCAGGGGCTCGGCTCTGTCCCCTCCAGTCATCTGCTCAGCTTGGGTGGCCGAGGCAGATGGACTCCAGGCTCAGGGGACTCCTCAGCTCTCTCTTGCGGACATCCCTGACACATCGGGAGAGGCCCAGGCCGGCAGCTTCCTGCCTTTGAAAGTCCCATCGCAGCAGCAATTAAAGCCGAGCTGGAAGTGATGGCACAGTTAATCCCAGCACTTTGGGAGACTGAGGCAGGAGGATCTCACGGTTGAGCTCAGCCTGAGTAATTGAATGATTTAGTCTCAGAGTAAAAAAGCTAGAGACAGGGATGCATTTCAGTGAGGAGGCTCTGGGTTAAGTCCTTAACTGGGAGAAAAGAATAAAAGAAGCAGAGGGGGCTGGGGATATAGCTCAGTGGCACAAGCACCTGCTTGGCAAAGTGCAAGGTTGTGAGTTCAATTCCTGGTACCAAAAGAGAAGCATTGCGGGGCTGGGGATTTAGCTCGGCGGCATAAGCGCCTGCCTGGCAATGAGGTCATGAGTTTGATCCCCAGTGCCAAAAAAATAAAAAATAAAAAAAGAGAAGCCGTGGCTCTGAGGTGAAGCCCAAAGCCTCAGAGTGTTTAAGAATGGGCAAGGGCTAGCCCTGAGCAGGGCACTGTGCAGGGCAAGCGGAGGTCATGAAGGTGATGGAGCTGGGATGGACATGGCAAGCACCGCCCAGGAGCGGACGGGTGGGGTGGGGGTGGGGCGCTCCCGCCTATGCAGGGACCTGCACCTCGCCTGCTCTGCCACAGAGGCAGTGACTTTCCCCAGAAGGACAGGATAGAAAGGCGACGGGGATGGTGACATCACCGCAGGAAGACCCCGCAAACCCCTCAGTCAGACGGCTCAGGCCACACTGGATGGATGCTGCGGGGGGTGGGGTGAGGGTGGGGAGCCCTTGCGGGGGTGCGGTGGACGTGGGTGTGGGCGTGGACGCTGCCTCCAAGTTCTGCCTTCCCAAATCACAGGGAAAACAATGCCAAGTCCGTGCTGATGAAGGGGAGCCCCTGCTGGGGGTGGCGGTGCACACCTGTAATTCCAGATCTTGGGAGACTGAGGCAGGAGGATCTATGTGCCTTTAAGGCCAGCTACACGGTAAGTTCAAGGCCAGGCAGAACCACATAGTGAAACTCTGTCTCATCCCTCTGCCCCCCTCCCCAAATTACTAATAGTGTGAAATACTAAGGATGGGGAAAATTGGGGTGCAGCATCACACAACTTAGTGCTGTGTGCTCAGAGGATCTGTAAGTAGACCTGCGGTTTCCGAGGTGTTACCGGGGAAACATCTCGCAGCCAGGAGCTGAGCCGGGATCCCTCTCTCCGAGCAGCAGGGTAGCTGCCGGCCGTGCAGCCCACGCACGTGTATGCCCCCGGGAGCCGCTGCTCGCGGTGCCAGGGCGGCCTGCAGAGTGTCCGGGGACAGGGCCGGGCTGGACAGATGCAGGAGAAAACCTACTTCCCGCACCTTTCGGAAGACATGAGTTCGCCTTCTGTGCAAGCCAGAGTTTTCTTCGTCAATCAGATTCCTGTTCCCGCCCGCGCTGGACCACACAATCCTGAGATCCTCGGCGACTCGGCCAGCCAGCCCGGAGTTCCCACCAGAGTCTCTGGCAGAGGTCGGGGAGGGGTATCCCCAGCTTCAGAATCGACCCCCATTTCCCAGAAATGTCACAAACCACAGGCTTGCCTTTCATGGGACTTGAAATTTCCAAATAGACCAACCCAATGTAACGTTTCTATCCTTTTTGTGTTTGCGGCACTGGGGATTGAAGTCAAGGCTTTTGCGCGGACCTAGAGCACCCCCGGCCCGTTTTTCACGGTCTATTTTGAGGCAGGGGCTTGCTGCATGGCCACACGGCCCAGCCCGGGCTCGATCTTGTGGCCTTCCCGCCTCAGCCTCCCCAGTACTGAGATTGCAGGCAGTCGCCGCCCCCCTCTGTCTTTTTAAAACCTGACAAAGAACCCCCAAGAATTAGCCAGCATGTTCCAGAACACTTCCTACCAAGTTCCCTAAAATAAGCGCATTAGTCACTCGGTCTGTCTGCCGAGCTGCAGTCGAAGGCAGCCTAATTAGCCGCTGCACCAGCCTGTGACAGGAGCTGCCAGCGCAGGGACTAGGGGCCTCTTCTGAGGCTGGGATCGGGACCCACCCCCAGCTCCTGGTGCCCCACTCTGATCCAGCCAAGCTTCCCCGCGTGATGAGTAATGAAAACCCACTTCAAATGGTAAATGACGAGGGGAGGCCTGGGCTCGACACAGCCGCAAGGTTTAGTTCCAGAGCCCCCCTCCCCCCAGCCACCTGGCTCCTGGGCGGGGCTTTGGAAGGCGATTGGGCCGCGGGGGCTGACTGGTTGTTAGGGGCGGGGTCTGTCATAGGGTGGGGCCCGGGCCTTGGAAGGTGATTGGACCGCGGGGCCAACTGGTGTTGGGGGTGGAGCCTGATCATGGAGGTGTGGCCTGCAAAGGTCTATCTTTCCCCTTGTCTCCGCCCTTCCCCATTCCTGCGAGCCCTGTGGTGCGCACCTCTATTCTTCCCAGTCCCTTCTTCTACGTGCTGACCAGACGAGGACTGACACTACTGCCCCCAGCATCCACTTCAACTTCTCCTCCTTGAAGCTGCAGGAATCAGGCCTGGAGTCCCCAGGGAGGAGGCGGGTGGTGTGGACACCGAGGGCTCCTTGATTGGACAATTGCTGGCATGTGATCACCTCTTGGCCCAATGGTGTCACCAGGCAGATTGACCAGAATTAGACGCAGTCCCAGACCTGACTGGGGCGATTCCTTCACCTTCTCCAGGGTACCCACCATCTGGGATCACTGTGAGCGGGAGGCCAGCCTGGGATCAGGACAACCTGCACCTCATAGTGAGACCTTGTCTCTAAACAAACAGAGAAAGAAACCATTAATAGGGCTTTGCCTGACTGTGCTTAAGAAATGCTACACTTTGAAGAAATAGTGAAGACCAAAAGGAAATAACAGTACACACTAGAAATGGGTCTTTTGTTTTTCAGTTGAACTCACTGTGTAGCTTCCACTGGCCTCAAACTTTTGAGGATCCTCCTGCCTCTGCCTCCTGAGTGCTGAAGTTATAGGTGTGCATCCCTCTGCCCTACTTGGGCAATTTACTCTAAAGAATTTTCACACCACTCCCTCAAACTCAGCAGCTTTTGCAGTGCTGTCTAAGGCCCGAGAAAACTGCACTGCTCTTGCAATAGCATCTCAACCGTTTCCTTCAATAAATTACTGCTCAATTTCTTTTATTGATGTGTTCAGCAGAAGCAACAGGAGCAGGAGGGGAATTGAAGCAATGCTTTCCCGAACTTGAAGCTTCATGCCCTAAGCTAATTTAGCTAATCATTGTTAGATTTGAGACTTGGACCCGCTTATGCAACGATCTGAAAATTTCCTGATTCCGCTCCAGAAAAGCTTTGGCAGCTATCAGTGTGCAAATTTTCACGCAGCTTCCTGTGCCATGAACGGTTTGGCATTGTTTTAATCTCACTGATGGAGAAACTGCTTCTTACTAAGTCTCCTGCACTTTGGAGCTGTCTATCTTCTGCTACATCCGTCCAATCTTTCAAGAGGCACAGAATGCTCCTCTGGGGGAAAAAAATAAATCTACAAACACACAGAAATCCTTCTTCAAATATTTTGACTGAAGTATTCTGTAGATCGAGAATTTCTGGCACTCTTACACAACGTATACTAAAAAGTCCTACTTCCCTCATTTTGCACAAATCTGCATATGACAATAAACATTGTCAAGAAAATTTTGGTGCTATCTTCAACGTCCTCTGTATAACAACCCATTTTTCCACTACCATGACAAATTACTGGAGGCTGGAGACTTTATAAAGAAAAGAGTTTACAAAGAAAAGGCTGAGGACTGCAGCTCAGTGTTGCAGCACACAGCATGAGGTCCTGGGTTAGATTTTAAACACTGAATAAAAGAGATAGGAAGCCAGCCCAGCTGCAGGGGGCCAACTTGGTTTTTTTTTTTTAAAATTTATTTTTATTTTTTATTTTTTTTATCAGTACTGGGGATTGAACTCATGACCTCGCGCTTGCAAGGCAGGTGCTTATGCCCCTAAGCTAAATCCCCAGCCAACTTGTTCATTTTTTGAGGTCCTGGGATTGGACTGTTGTGGTGCACTAAGCAGCAGCCCTGTCCTTTGCTCTGGGCTCTAGTCTGTCCTTGAGCTTTCAGCCTTCCTGCCTCAGCCTCCAGGAGCTGAGACCACATGTGAGCCCTGCCACGTCCAGCTCAGGCTGATTATTGTTATTATTATGTTTTAAAATAAATCTCTTGTGAGAACTGACTGGGGAGCTCTGAACCCCTCTCAGACCCTGTCTTGGAGCACGGGCACCCTGGGGACCAGCCAATCAGTGTGAACCTTTGGGGGCTGCATGAGCTGAACCAGAGCTTCTCTCTGCCACCCCAGGAATCAAGGGGCAGTGGAGGATCAGGCCCACACCTACAGAAGGATGAGAGGTGTGGGGCTGGCCGCAACATGTCAGGAAGGTGAACACTGTGTCACTGGAAGGTTCCAGTGCCCCCGGCTCCGCCCCACCACACCTAATGACACTCTGGCAAGACTCCAGGGTTTTTCTTTCTCCTTTTGGTTTTTTTGAGTTTGAGCCTCACTATCTGGTCCAGGCTGGCCTGGAACTCATGGGGATTCTTCCGCCTCAGCCTCCTCAGTGCTAGGATTATAGGTGTGCACTCCCAGGCCTGGCTGGACTGCATAATTTTTCTTGACAACTACCGGATGTTGTGCTTGGGTTAAGACAAAACCAGCGTTAATCTTACTGACACAGAAGCATCCAGGCATCTATTTTTATACTTTTGTACAGCATACATTAAATGCAATGTTATTTTTAACAATATGCATATTTATATTTAAACAGAAAGCACATATACTGGGCGGTAGGAAATGGCAGAAGAAATTAGATTTTCTACACTAGGTAAATACAGTGTATTACATTAATGCACACATTTCCTCTAAATGTTTTCTAGCTTTTTAAAAAATATTTGCTGCCTAACCTCTCCATTATTTTCTGTAATTTGTATTAGAAAATACATATGTCCTTGTAATTTTCTAAGTATGCATGAATCAAAATTTGGCATCATGGCACATACTTGCAATCCCAGCACTCTGGAGGCTGAGGCAGAGGACTCACCATGAGTTTGGGACCAACCTGGGTTCCATAGTGAGTCCAAGGCCAGCCTGAACGACATGGTGGAACCCTGGCTGACAAAATAAAAGTAAATAATTAAATAAAAACTGCAAAGTACTCTGGTGCTAAGCTAGGACGCTGAGCAAGTTAGGGTAAGAAATGCATTTCCAGTTTAGCTTGGTGTGTCCCTGGGTAAGCAGAGGAGCCCGGACCCTGACACTTGGCTTCCCAGCCATGTCCCCTGCCTGCTGTCTGTGTTCCTGCACCCCGCCTTGGAGTGTGTGGCCGCATGTGGTCCGGTGGACCCCAGCTCAGCCCTGCTGTTCCTGAGTGGACCACAGATCACAGCCCAGGTCCCCAGAGGGATCCACAGATGAGTGTCCCAGTGGCTGCTGCCCACTGCTCACCGTGCAACTCCTGTGCCCACCTGAAGCACGGTCCCAGCCAGGGACGCCCTTGGGAGCTGCAGGGACCTTCCAGGTGGCTGTGTCCGGCCCGCTGTCCGGGAGTCCCTCGGGCTGCAGGCCCTGATGGTTTCCCAGGGCGGAGGGCGGGGAGGGGTGACAGAGGACCTCCAGATGACAAGAGGGAGTTGTCCTAGCTCTAACCCGCCAAGTGTTCCAGGTGCCGAGCTCCTGCTGTCTTCGTTGGAGCAGCAAGTTCTAGGAACAGCAGAGGTAAGAATAGGCAGTGTTCTGTCTCCAGCATGTGTCACTGAGCAAAGCCAGGAGGCGAAGCGAGTGCTAGGTGGGACAGAGCTGCAGCCCACTGGTAGGATTCCAGGACAGTCGCTCGGGTAACATCGCTCCAGAAGGAAGTCACAGTGCCACAAGGGGCAAAGCCATGGTGATCCAGTAAGGTTACGGCAAGACCGGGGGCTCGGGTGACACTGACTAAATGGGACACAGTCACGGAGCAGGCTCAGCTGGGCCTGACAAGGCCTTTCCTGGAAAGGGTGGGTCACGGAGGTTCGGCCCCCACCCCAAGGTGACTGTTGTCTGCTTAGAACACTGATCCCAGCTCACTGCGGGGGAAGCGTGTGGGTGGGAACTTCCGATTTGCTTGGAGCCGGGCCTGAGGTGGCTGGGCCTAGAGTCTTGGCTGTCCTTGCACTGACCCACCAGGGTCCCCACCTACAAGATTTCCAGATAACTTGGCTGCTGTCCCGGAGACTCCGAGGTTGGAGCAGCAGGCCCTGCCCTTAGTGAAGCCTCCAGGAGAGGGCCCACCTCCCCAGCTTCCTGAAGGGGACTGGGTGCCTGTGTCCACATTCCCTTCTTCTCTGAGAATACCATCCCTGAGCTGCATGGGTCTGTCATGCCAGCACTCAGGAGGCTGAGGCGGGAGGATCCCAAGTTTTTTGTCTCAAAGTAAAAATAAAAGAAAAGAAAAGGTTGGAGCTGTAAGCCCGTGTGAAGGCCCTAAGTTCAATCCTAGTGTGCTAAGATAGGGCATACAGGTGCACGCACATGCAGACTCAGGGACAGGGCAGGGACACAGTGCCGGACACAGAGAACCTGGGGGGGGGGGTAAGACCCACCTGGCATTTCTGGGAGGGGAGGCTTGGGCTCCTGAAAATAAAGTGCGGGACCCTTCGGGAGGTCCGTGGCCCAACAGCTGTCAAACCAGGACCAGCCAGAGGTTGAAGGGCAAGAAACGCTCTGAGGGGAGCAGTGCAGGGCTGAGCTGGTCTTTTTATTTTTTCTGATGGCACCGAGACCGATCCAGAGCCTTTGCACTGAGCTACTTCCCCAGGCCTTTTGAAATTTTATATTTGGGGACTGGCCGGGCTGGAACCTGTGATCCTCCTGCCTCAGCCTCCTGGAGAGCTAGTGATATAGGGGAAATGCTAGATGTCAGACACGCCACGTTCCTGAAGTCAAAGAGTGGATTCTAAGGAACAGTGGAGGTTAAGAGTAGGAAAATCTACTGGACAAGAGGGATGAGAATGGGATGGGGTACAGGAACAGCTCCCGAGAGGCAGGCGGGGACCCGAATGGGCTGTCGACCAGCACCTCCTGGAAGGAAATCATGAGGCAGCTACAGTGTGCATCAGAATTACGATCGATGAGGGTATGTGGGTGACATCCCTGGTCCCTGAGCTAGGTCTCGGTCTTGTCTTAGTCTACGTGGTCTTGGTCTTGGTCTTCTTGTTTTAGCCTTAGTGGGTGGGAGAGGATGGCCCACCCCAATGGGATGATGGGAAATCTCCAAAGGCCAGCACCAATGTCCCGAGCCTCCGTTCTTCCCCTGGGGAAGTGTGCAAAGCTGTGACTCCAGCCGCAGTCCCGGTGGACTCTCATCTCCTGTGCTGACCCCCGAGGGCCCAGCCCCTCCGGCTGCCTGCTCTGTTCCCACCTCACTTTGCTGTCTGTGGAGCTGGGCTTGGGAACCAGGGAGAGTCACTTCCTGGTTGGGGTGCAGGCTGCTTTAGACTTGAGGGGCCTGGCACCCCATGATGGACTCATCAGAGATGTGTAGGAGCTGGGTCCGACCTCAGCTGCCAGATGCTTGGGGACACTGTGGCTTCACAGGCCAGCCTTGCCCTTAGCAGCCCCTGGGACTGAGCTCTAGCACCTCCCATTCCCATGGGCCCCCACTTGCCGACCTGCAAAGCGGGTGACCATGGCCTCTGTCTCCCCTTTTGTGGACAGCCCTGGCCCAGGCAGAGAACAGATGCGTATGCCCGCCTTGCCAGACCTCAATGCTCAGCACCAAGTAGGAAGAAGGTGGGACTCTCAGGAAAGGGGTGGGGTGGGTACAGTGGGGGACATTCCAGAGGAACAGACCAGAGAGGGGTGGGGGCTCCGCTAGCTTATAGGTCATGGTGTTCTCCAGCTTCCCCCAGAGGGGAATTTTCAAACAGAAGCTGGGGGGTGGTGGTGCACACCTGTAGCCCAGCACTCAGAAGGCTGAGGCAGGAGGGTTGCTGTGAGTTTGAGGTCAGTCTGGGATACATAGTGAGTTAAACGCCAGCTTGGAGTACACAGCAAGGTCCATCTCAAGCAAAAAAAAAAAAAAGATAGATAAAAATAGAAAAGAAAGGGCTATTATAGGTACATACAGGGAGGAGAGGGTCGGGCTTTCTGTCCTTCGGGAGGGACAGTCTAGTGGGCAGTGGAGAAGCTCTTGCTGATCTTGTTTTTTTTTCCTCTTTCCCCCAGGTGCTGAGGATTGAACCTAGAGCCTTTGCACTGAGCTATACCTTGAAGATGAGAGCTCGCTGAGTTACTAAGTTACCCAGACCAGCCACAAACTTGTGATCCTCAGCCGTCTCTGTACTGGGATAATTAATGGGAGTGCAATGCTTTGCCCAGATGACTAGGGGTATTTGTGTGTGTGTGTGTGTGTGTGTGTGTGTGTGTGTGTGTGTGCATGTGTGTGACAGAGAAGAGAGAGAGAGAGAGAGAGAGAGAGAGAGAGAGAGACAGAGAGAGAGAGAGAGAGAGACAGAGATAGACAGACAGAAAGACAGCGAGATGGAGAGAGACAGAGAGACAGAGAAAGAGAGAGACTCTGTAGCCCAGGCTGGCCTTGAATTCACAGCAATCCTCCTGCCTCAGCCTCTGAGGGCTGGGCTGACAGTTGCACACTGCCACACCTGGTGGAAACAAAGTTCTTTGAGGGCTGTGGGTCACTAGCAGGGCCAGACACTGCCCCTCAGCAGCTGCTGTCTTTGATGGGAGCAGGCCGACCCCAGCGCAGCCCTCTGTGCTCCGAGGCGTGCTGCTGACTGACTCAGGACTCAAGGTTGCTTCTTCTCAGGGCACACACCTCGGGGAAATTTGCGAAAATTCCACAGAATCATTTTGGTTTATTTGAATGGTTTTTGAGAAACCAGTGACTAAGAGATGCACTGTGTCCCCGGAACCACTTCTGCTTCTGTGTGGCAGCCTGGGGAGCAGGTGCAAACTCTGAGGGCAGCAAATCACCCTGGCCCTGACGTTGGGGGACCGTTGGTTTAAACAGTAAGTGTCAGCCCTGCGCTGACTGTGAACACCTGTCACCCCAGCACTCAGGAGGCTGAGGCAGGAGGGTCACCATGAGTTTGAGGCCAGCCTGAACTACACAGTGAGACTCTGCCTCAGAAACAAAATTGAATCATTTGTTTTGTTGTTCCAAGAATTTCCCCTGGAATTTGGTTACATCATTTCTCCAACAGCACAAGCTGTTGAGGTTTGTGGCCTTGAATCTTTTCCTGTGAGACCAAGGTCTGTTTTTTATTTTTATTTTTATATTGGTATCAGGGATTGAACTCATGACCTCCTGCTTGCCAGGTGGACATTTATACCACTGAACTAAACCCCCAGCCCAAGGTCTGGTTCTTAGCATCTTTTATAGAGGACAGATTTTGTTTTGTACTGAGGACTGAACCCAGGGCCTTTGCATGTAGCCGCATCCCTAGCCATTTTTAATTTTTTATTTTGAAATGGTTTTGCCAAGTAGCTAGAGCCCAGGCAGTGTTGAGTCCTCAGTCCTCCTGCCTCAGCCTCCCTGAAGGCTTGGATCCTACCATTTGGTTGTCCACATCTTTGAAAATAAATACCTTCCTTCTAACTTTAAAAAAGCTTGACTCGGAAATATAATTGAGCTATTGCTGGATATTCTTCTAATGAGCCAAAGGCAAATGATTCAGCTGAATGAACAAGCTGTGTAAATCACATGCTGTATACATTTAAAAATTATACATTAAAAGCAGTTCATTGAAACTGAATAGTCTTGTATATAACACAATTTCTCAAACTGACATTGATTTAAAGATCAGCCTGAAAGCATTTGAAACTTTTAAAATTGTAACTGTTCCCTCGTGGCAGCCCATCTGATGACCAAGGTTCACGGAGACATTTCTGCTGGGCTCCAATACCCCTGCCCTGCTGCCCGTCTCTGTTGGGCCCTCTTGGTCCCCAGTCCTGATCCTCTGCTTTCTCCCTCTTTAGAGTCCGCACATAGTATATAAATGTTATTTTTGAAAAAAAAATCTGAGCCGGGTGTTATTCTATCATGCTATCATGCGCCCCCGGAGAGGCTGCGCATGCGCGGCCCTCGTGGCTAGGGGCATCTCTGAGCCCGGGGGCAGGGACCCTCGCTTCTCCATATCTGCATCTGCTTTACTTCTCTTCCTTTAAAGCTGGGAAACCGTTCCCCACCTCCCCTTCTTGCTTTATGGGGACCCAAGTTGTAAGAAAGGAAAAAAGGAAGTCAGGAGACCTACGGATGGGGTCCGAATCCCCTTGTCTGGGCCCGGTGATAAGGACCCCCGGTCTGCACGCTGCCCTGCACGCTACTCCCAGAATCGAGGTTGGGGCTTTGCCGGGTGGGGGCGGGGCCGGTAAACCCCGTTGGCGGCGATCGGGCGCGCGCAGGCGCCGAGGTGGGGAATTCCTGGCGGGAATCAGGGACCGTGACGCCTCAGGGGAGGGAGAAGAGCCCTCCGCCTGCTGCATCGGGGGTTCAGAAAGCAGCCTGTGCGGGGCGTAGAATGTCGGGGCGTGGGCGACACGGGAAGGCGCGGACCCCGGGTCCGCACTGCCGGCCCTGGGAAGTGGGGCCCGGTCCCTCTGCGCCCCCTGGCTGCGCCCGGGTCCCCAGCGCGGCGCCCGTACAATTTTGTCCCCTTTGGACTCGAGAGCTTGGCACGGCGGGCGCGGGCTGGGCAGAGCGCATGGCAGGAGGACAGGGGACCTGGGGGTCTCGCGTGGGCCCCGAGACCGCGGCTCGGGCTGTGCACGAGGATCCAGCGACGAGCACCCTCCTCCCTGATGGCGGGGCTGGGCAACCCTGCACCCAGGCAGTGGGGCGCGGGGTGCCTTCGCAGTTCCGTGCCTTCGCTCTTCTGGAGTTTTCCCAACGCTTCCCCACTGTCGCTCTTTTCTTTAATCAATTTTTCTTTTTGAGGCAGTCTCACTATGAAGCCCACGCTGGCCTCGAACTCCCGGCGACCCTCCTACTTGAGCCTCCCGAAGGCTGGGATTACAGCCCTGCCCCACCAGGCCCCACTTTCAAAGTTTCGCTCAGGTCTCTGAATCGGCAGCGCGCTCCGCACCCCGGCCGCGTGCCGGGTCCGGGTGCTGCCTGCAGGTCGCCGCCCACAAGAAGCCCCGCCCCTAACAGCCCCGCCCCACAGCGCGTCCCCTCTCGCGCAGCCGCGAGCTGCACGCTTCCGGATAGGGTGCCGGGCGTGGTCCGCAGGCCCCGCCCTCCCGCCCAGGCCCCGCCCTCGAGGCCCCGCCCACAGCCCCCGCCCCTCTCGGCGCAGCAGCGAGCGCTGCGCTCCGCCGGGCTGGGGCGCGGGCTGCGCGGTGACCCCGGCTTCGGCCCGGATGGTTCTCCTGGCGGCCCTCGGGCCCGAAGGGGGCAGCGGGGCGTCCTGCCTGTCCCCGTCCCCTTCCCCGTCCCCACCCCGGGACGCGCAGGTGGGCGAGGATCCCGCGGACGACGATGAGGACTTCGAGGACTTGTGCCCGTGCGATGCCCGCAGCGTGGCCGCGGACGACGGCTTCTACCCGCCGGGGCTCGGCGAGGAGCGGGGCGCCGTCGTCCCCGAAGGCGCCCCCGAGGTCGTCCCGGTGCCCGCGGGCGCCACCGTGCTGCGCGCGGCCGGCGCCAACGACGCGGGGCTGCTGCGGGCGCTCGCACGGCGGGGGCTGCGCGCCGAGGAGGTGCAGGAGACGGACCGCAACGGCCGGGTGAGCGCGCGGCGGCCGGGCCGGGCCGGGCCGGGGCGGGGCGGGGCCGGGGCCGGGGTCGGGTTCGGGGCGGGGCCGGGGCCGGGGCCGGGGTCGGGTTCGGGGCGGGGCCGGGGCCGGGGCTGGGGTCGGGGCCGGTACCGGGGCCGGTTCGGGTTCGGGGCGGGGCCGGGGCCCGGGGCCGGGATGGAGTCCGGGGTCGACCCGGCGACCCTCGCCTGTCCCCGCCCCTACGCCCTCACCCAGGAGCCGAGCGGCCACCCGGCCCGCCCGCGCCCCTCGGGTCCCCGGGCGAGGACGGCGCGGCTCCCTTCGTCCCTGGACTCGGGGTCCCCGAGTGGTGCGGGTCGCGCGTGCTCCCGGGCCCGGCACAGGTGCCCGGTGGCCTCGACTCCCGGTCCTGGGGTGGACGCGCGGCGCGGACTCGTTGGTGTCCGCTTTGCTGGAGGCCCCCGGGGTCTGCAGACCCAGCTTGGCCCGAGTCGGGCACGAGTGCTCTCTGCGGGGGAGGAAATCGTGCTTTTCATTCGGGGTCCCCGCGGCTTCGCGGGCTGGCCACCCCGGTGTCCCCGGCTGCGGTCCCCTGCGCCGAGGCACCTGGGGCGCGGGCTGCGAGCGCGGGTTGGAACTTGGTTTGTGTTTGTGACCCGGGGGAGGGGCAGGCCCGGGGGTTGCACCCCGGATCCCTGCAGTCAGAAGGTGCACGGCACCCAGCACGCTTCCCGTCTCCTGGCCGGGGCAGGGGTCGCCCGGGAGGGGCGCTTTCAGTTTCTCCGTGCGCTGCGGGCTCCGATGTCCCCGCCCCTCAGAACCCGACCCGAGAAGGGGACCCCGAGCCGGCTAGGACGCACGGGGCTGCTGGTCCTCCACCCTGAGCGCGCGGGGCTCGGCTCGGGGCGCCACCCTGGGAGAACCGAAGTTCGCAGGTGGCCCTGGCGGGGGTTCCCGGGTCCCCAGAGAGCGCCCGGCGCGGCCGCTCAGGTGCTCCGCCCGTGCGTGGGGGCCGAGAGCGCTGCGCCTCCGGGCTGTGCGCAGGCCCCAGCCTGGGCGACGGACCCCTGGCTCGCCCAGCTGGGGACCGTCTGCCACCTCGGACTGGAGGACGGTGCCTCCTGCTTTGTGGGTTTCCGGTGCTGGGCAGGGACGTAGCCTCCTCCTCCTCTTCTGCCCGGGTTTGTGCCGGTGGAGCCCAGAAGCCCTTCTGTCTCAGCTTTCAGTCCCCTCCTCTAGCTGTTGGAGGAGAAGGGCCCTTCTTCCCATCGGTGGCTCTGAGCCCTCGGTCACTGTGCCTCATCACCCTGGCTGGAGCACTGTCGGAGGCTGAGACAGGAGGATCCCTTGTTGAAACCCAGCCTTACCATTTTGTATTATTTTGTTTTTCAAAATTTCAAACGTTAGTGTGTTTTCTGTTGAGCATACACTTGTGGAACCTCTCTTGGCAGGAACTGTCACATCCTGATAAAAAGGGGTAAGAGGCCGCTTAAAATAAATACTATTTTTAATAAAATAATGAAACTTCAAGGCCAGGCGTGGTGGCACACACCTGTAACCCCTGCACTCGGGAGACCGAGGCAGGAGGAGCTCTGTGAGTTTGAGGCCAGCCTGGACTACATGTTAAGACCCTCCCTCAAAGAAACAAAACTTCAAATAAGTATTCTTTACACTGCACAGTAGGATGAAAATAAGGTGGAACTTTACTGTGATCATGAAGATCCAGAAGGAAGGAGACTCAGAATAAAGGCAAAACACAGGCAAGGCGCGCTGGCCGGTGACCTCTCCAGAAGGTGCAGTGAATTCACCCTCCTCGTGGGCTGGGCCAGCCTGAGATTTTAGTGACGTCACCTTGACATAGAAGTGAATGGTGGAATGAATGAGGAAAGGTGAGATACTAAGGTCCCAGGTCTCAGGTACCACAGGAACTGCCTCACTTTTTATTCATGTTATTCCTTTTGGTTTTCTGAGACAGGGTCTCACTATGTAGCCCAGGCTGGCCTTGAAACTCAGGTGCTTCTTGCCTCAGCCTCCCCAGTGCTGGGATCGCAGGCGGCTGGCTGGGCAGTGGTGTGTGTGTGTGCAGAGCCCGTCCAGGCTATCGGGAGTCCTCGGTGCCCTGGTAGCTGGCCCAGGAGCAGCAGAGGGACCCAGGCTGAGGCTGAAGCCCACACCAGCCCTCCACCCCCACCCCAGCTTTCCGTGGATGGCGCCCCCTCCTCCTGGTCTGGCTGCCCCTGCCTCCCTGGCCTGCACAGAGGGGCTGGCTGTGTACCCCCACCTCACCTCCGCTGATTGCCAAGTTCCAGCCCCAGCCTCCAGGGCATTGGGACATTGGTCAGGCCTATGTAGCTGCAGGGAAACCACCCCCATTTTCTCTGTCTCGGTCCCTTAACACTGACTTCTGTTTTCACAGAAAACTGGCCCATTTTTTCTGTTTTACAATTTATATTGTAAAGTTGTCACAGAACTCTCTCTTATTTTTTGGTAGTGATGCTTAAACCCAGGAGCACCCAGCCACCAAACTGCAGCCCCAGCTCTTTAAAAAAATATTTTAGTTTGATACAAGGTTTCACTAAGGAGCCCAGACTGGACTTGAAGTTGTGTGTGATCCTCCTGCCTCAACCTCCCCAGCAGCCATGCCCTGTGGGAATTCTCTTTGTAATCTTGACTGTAACCACTGTATTCTGGTTTCCTAGTTTTTGTTTGTTTTTCTATGTGTTTTGAATTTGTGCTATTTCTCTCCTTTGTGGCAGACCCTGTTAAAAATATCTAATTTTGGGGCAGCTCACTTGGGATCCCTTCTGTCTCTCTCCCAGACAGAAGCTTTCTTTCTCTCAATAAATATATTCTACTCTTTAAAAAAAACCACCTAATTTTTAGTTTTCTTAGAGGCCTGCTGTGGATCTGTGGGCCTGGCTGTCTCTGTCGGTTTCTGCTTTTTTTCCATTTGTTTGTTCCTTCAGGGTTTCCCTGCCTACACTTTCCTCAAAGTCTCACTGTTGCTTTTCTCAGCCAGTTTGAAAATTAATATTTGTGTGATTGCTTTCTTCGGGTTTGTAGTATGTTTCTTTATTATAATTTTCCAAGTTTTATTAGCACATTTGCCGTACACAGCGATCCCATTCATAGGGGACCTGGTGTGTGTGCTCTCAGTAGTCTGTCCTCTCATTCTCTTCCCCTCCCCATTATGGTTATTTTTTAAAGTGTAAAAATCTACTTATTTATTGATTGATTATTTTGATTCAGGGCCTCTCTGTGTACTCCACACTGGCTTGAACTCACCATGCAGCCCAGGCTGGCTCTGAGCTCGCGGCGATCCTCCTGCCTCAGCCTCCCAGATGCTGAGGCCACCATGGCGCCTGGCCATCGCTGGGTCTTGCTGCAAGGCAAGGAATTTCCCACATTTCCTTTGGCTTCCAGTTCTCTGTCCAGGCAGCATCCACGGGGCCAGGCCAGCGAGTCCATGTCTGGAGGGTCCCCCGTGTCCCCGTTAACGTGAGGGACACTGGTGTCTGTTGGTCTTGCTGGTCCTGGGGTCACGGTATAGACCAGGTCTCAGGAATCCGTTCCAGGGTTGGAGCCAGGCCCGGCTGACCTCGAATTCTTGAACCCCGCCTGCTGCCTTAGTGGCTGGACTTCTGGACCCTGTGCCCCGCCCCCACTTTTTGTTTTTGTTGTTGTTTTGAGACAGGGTCTCACTATTCGGTTCAGGCTGGCCTTGAACTCACTGTAGCCCAGACTGACCTCAAACACGAGGCAGTCCTCCTGCCTCATCCTCCTGAGTGCTGGATTTCTGGCTTTGTACTTTCATGCCTGGCAGGGTGATCTTTTTAGGGAGCCCTTGATGATGGGTGCGTATGGGGTTGGGGATGAATTTGGGGTTCAGCCTCCATGGAAGTACAGGAGAAGTAAATATATTTCCCTAAGCATTCAGTGTCTAACTCACACTGCGGAAGCTGTGGTGAATTCGTTTTTAATAGAAGTAATCATTCTTAGCTTGTCTCGGCTGTACGCGAATCTGAATCCTTTGGGTTTGTCTGCAGTGAGGCACCAGTGCCCTGAGTTAATTGAAAACCCCCACGTGATGTGATCTTGTTTGTTAAAGGCAGTGAGTGATGAGCGGGGTCCCCATTACTGTTACCTTGAAGAGTTACTCTTACCTTTTTATTCCTGACTTTTAATTCAGTGGAGAGACTTCTGGAAAGGACTGAACACTGAGCCATCCTTTTGTTTAGAAGAGGCGAGTTCCACCCCCTCACTTGTGGATGGATTCATTAGTCCTGTGATTCCAGCATCTATGGGAAGGCTGTGGGGTTTTAATCGATGACATAGAAAAGTTGTTCCTGAGGGCTTTTTTCTCCAACGAAATGAATATTCTTAAACTTTTGCTATAAAAAACTCAATATTAAATGCTCAAGGAATAATAAAAATTGTGTTTTAAATAGCTTTCCACGTGCAGAGGAAGCAATTTTAAAACTTTTGAGGCAGGTGTGGCAGCGCATACCTGTAATCCCAACACTCGGGAGGCTGAGGCAGGAGGATTGACACAAATTCCAGGCCAACCTGGGCTACCCAGTGAGGTCAAGGCCAGTGTGACCTACATAGAGAGACCCTGTCTCAAAATACTAGATAAATAAAAACATTTGAATGGAGCTGTAGATCCATGACTTTAAAAGTCACTTAGAAAATCCCAGGGTCTCACATATCAGCTTTAAACGTAGAGAATCCTCCTACTGTAGGATTTTAAAAGTGTTTGTGATTGATTAAATGATCCAAATTAAGTAGCACAGGAGGCCTAGGAATGGAAAAACAGTTTTTTAAAGAAGAAAGCTGATTAGCGTCCTAAGCAGTGGGAAATCCCTGACTGTAAACGGAGATGCTGCTGGCCTCGTCTGGCCGCCCTCCCAGGAAAGCCAAAGGCGTTACCGGCTGGGCGTAGGTGCCCTCAGCTGTCATCAGCCCCTGGCCCGGACAAGTGCTGATCTGCTTTCTGCAGATTATGGGGG